TTCAGTTTCCAGCCTAGGCTACTTCTAGTTTCAGTTTCCAAACAGTCCTCATTGGCTGACTTAGCTGCCTATTCATTGGCTGACCTTGTTATACCATGCTGTATTCCGGTTCATGAATATATTCTGACAATAGGAATGTTTTATGCGTTGACAACAAGTTTAAGGAATTTGGGTTGGTTTGCAGGCAGCCAGATAAAATTTAGAAGGGATTTGCTATTTTTGTCCATCTAACTGAGTTTTTCCCAAGGACCTGGGATAGCCAGGTGTTTAATAGGAAAGCTTATTGTTGCAGGATGTAAGCTGTTCCAAGTAAAGCTGCTTTTTTGCGAATTACTGTTGTTACGTGGGACAAATGCAGGAGGTCCAACTGGCATTCCTTCATCTCTGTCATATGCAGAGTAAAATAGATCTTATAAGCGTGATGGGAGTGATTTCTGCTCGCAACCCCTTCCTCCTGAAATATCCATTTTTGACAGCGAGATAGATAAGTATTGATTTTTCCTGAAATTAAGAACGCCGATGCTCCGTTAACATACGTGGCATACGATGCTTTGCAGTTTATGCAACTTCTCAAAAGTGTTTCTTGCGGCCAGGTTAAAAAAAAAAAACATTTCATTTTAGGTGGCGTTTTCAGCCAGCCGTTCCTTGAATGGGTTTTCTTAAAAGTATAGGCAGTCTTTGAACTGAGCTCAAAGTTTCTGTTGCCAACATTGGTTAAGTGAGTTTTGCCCCATTTTAGGACCTTTCTTGTCACGGTTGTTAAGTGAATCCTCGCAGGTGATAAGTTAGTAACCTGATTGTTAATTGAATCTGGCTTCCCCTTTGATTTTGATTGTAAGAAGGTGGCAAAAGGATTTTACATGACACTGGGACACTACCACTGTCATAAATACTGTCACTAAATGAACTGTTGTAAGTTGAGGGCCACCTGTAGCTTCCAGAGGCTTCTAAACTTAAGCTGCAAATGACACTTTTTAGAGAATTCTAGATTTGGATGGGACTATGTAGCTTATCCCTCTCTGCCTCTCTTTCTCTGTCTCTGTCTATTTTGTCTCTCTGTCTCTCTCTCTGTCTCTCTGTCTCTGTCTGTCGTGTCTGATTCTCTCTGTCTGTCTGTCTGTCTGTCTGTTTTTCCCTCTCTGTCTCCCCTATATCTTTCTCTTTCTCTCTCTCTCTCTTTCTCTTTCTCTCTCTCTCTCTCTCTCTTTCTCTCTCTCTCTCCCTCTCCCTCCCTCCCTCCCTTCTCTCTTTCTCTCTCTCTCACACACACACACACAAAATAAACCACACACACCATTGCACGAGTCCTGATTGCAGCGTCTGTGAGAGACATTTGTCTAGATTCTTCTTGGACATATAACCAATGAAGAGACTCTTCTGCGGTATTTATTAAGAAGTTTCCCCTCTCCCATTCAAACTGAACATAAGATTCCTTATAAAGTGAAATCATTCTTCCATGTACTACTTTGTCCGTGATGGAGAACAGGTCTTGGCCTTCTTGTGTATGACGTTCTTTTTAACACCCTTGAAAAATTTGTCAGTAGAACCAATTACTAAAGGAAGATACATTCAAGATGAGGTTGGACAAGCCCATCTGTCAGGATGCTTTAAATTGGCTTTCTTTATTGAACAGGAGGATTGGAGGTGAGATCTATCTTGGCCCTTTCAGTGTTGAGTCTGCGATGCTAATATTCAAGGCTCTGTTGGGCAGCTGTCATGTTTTGAAGGGTGGTTGTAATCAGTGTAATGCCTCAGGCCGTGGAAAGGGAATTTCACAAAGGCAGTAGTGTCACAAAAAAACAGGAAAAGCCCAAGGGGAACATCAGGTCAGCCAGAAAACAAACTTACATAGGAAAAGGAATCAAATAAAAAGTATTAAAGAATCCCTATAGACAAAAGCCTAAGTAATTGAGAAAACTAGACGAATAGGAAAAGGAAACAAAAGATAATTTAGAAAACCCTTACAAACACAGGACATACCAAATAAGCAAAACAAACAGACAAAAGACACAAAATATAAATTACAAAAGGGACAGACAGGAGATTGCCACAGAACAAATATGAAAAACTATCTTAAAGCTAAAAGAGATTACAGAAAACCAATAATACAATCTGGCCACCCTGCGGAGTTTGCCCTCCGGCGGAAATAAAGACAAACTCAAACAGGATTTGAAACATTAGGCACAAATACAAACACTCACACAAAATCAACTTCCAAAGGGAGAAAAAGGTATAAAAAAACAGGGACTTATCATAAGAAGCTAGCTAGCCCAGGAACACAGACTTCTCGCTGTTCTCCGCCTTCCTGAAAAATAAAAAGATCCAGCTTTCAAGCAGTTGTCCATTTCCTTGCGCTGGAGCTTTCCCAGCGGGAAAATCAAATCCTCGAAAGAAAGTCATTTTGGCACCTTTCAACAGGGCAAAGGGAAAATTTTGCTATCACTCTCTCGGTGAACTATTTCCTATGCTTCTTAGAGAAGGAAGCAGGGAAGGATTTGATGCACTGAAGCACAGCCAGGATGTTGGAGGTAAAAGAATTGCATTCAACAATGGAATGGAATGGAAATAGAATAGAGTAGAATCATAGAATAGAACAGACCCGCGATGGCGAACCTACAGCACGTGTGCCACAGGTGGCACGCAGAGCCATTTGTGTGGGCATGCAAGCTCCAGCCAGATTTACTTCCCTGCGCATGTGCGTGCTTCCCAGGTGATTTTCGGCCCGTTTTAGACCTTTTTTGGCCTTCCAGAGGCTCAAGGGAAGCCTCTGCAGCCTTTGTAGGCCAAAAAACAGGCCCGTTTCATCACTTCCTGTATTTCCGGAAATGCTGGCAGTGACGAAACGGACCCATTTTTCGGCCTACAAAGGTTGCAGAGGCTTCCCTCGAGCCTCTGTAGGCAGAAAATCAGCTGGGAGGCACTCACATGCTCAGGGCAGGTAAGGGGGGGGGGAATCGCATGTGCAGGGGGTGTTGGGGGGCATGCAGTTTTTGGCACAGTACCCCAGAAAGGTTAGCCACCACTGGAATAGTCTATAATAGAAAATTGGAGTGGAGTGGAGTGGAGTGGAGTGGAGTGGAGTGGAGTGGAGTGGAGTGGAGTGGAGTAGAGTAGAGTAGAGTAGAGTAGAGTAGAGTAGAGTAGAGTAGAGTAGAATAGAATATCATAGAATATCACAGAATATCATAGAATAGAATATAGCATAGCATAGAATAGAACTTTTTATTGGCCAAATGTGATTGGACACACAAGGAATTTGTCTCCATTGCATAAGTTTTCAGTGTGCATACAGGCAACAAGTGATAAATCCTGATCAGAATGATAAAATACAATCATCACAAATCATAAGATACAACACTCAATGATAGTCCTAGGATACTAAATAAGCAATCAACATACATCATAATAGGATACTAAATAAAAGCCATCAACATAGTTCATAAAATACAAACAGCAAAGTTACAATCATAGAGGTTATAGTCATTCATTACCTTAGCATTGACGATGTTACCTAGTTTGGATAATGAAACATCTGCAAGATAACAAGCAGGCTCAGAGAGCACCAAGGACGCCTGAGCCAAATACTCCCCTTTCTTAGTATAGTCATAAGAAGCTAAGGAACTAGGCAATAGGAAAGATGAAAAGGGTAATAGTAATACAGCCTTACTAGGTGGTTTGTCATCCCAGGGCATAAGACAGCGTTGTGGGAATTAGTTGTTTAGCAGAGTGATGGCATGGGGAGAAAAACTGTCCTTGTGGCTGATTGTTTTGGCGTGCAACGCGTCATCTTGAGAGAAGAAACAGTTTATCTCCAGGATGTGCTGGGACTGTAGATATTTTCTCAGCCCTCTTTCCAAGGGTGGGATTCAACCGGTGTTACTACCGGTTCGGTACTTACGTCCTGCTGATTGGCACAAAGTCACCCAGCTGGCTTTCCTGCCTGAGGTGGGACTAGAACTCACGGTCTCCTGGTTCACTAGGCCATAATTGCTCTCATTGATTCAGTGGCCTCTTCCAATTATTATTTTATTTATGAGTAGATCCCCGTCTCCTTTAGAATGCAAATAAATAACTGCAGCTCCCCCCAAAATCCATGTGGACCCAACCTTGCTGTCACATAGGAAAATCTTGAACAACCGGTTATGGCAGCAGGCTCTGGGCCATGACAATTTGTGAACATGCCTCTGAGATGTAAATATTTTAATTCCTTTTGTAGTTCTCTGATGTGGTATCTTGGGCTTTCGTTTTTATTAATGTTTTATTATTAAAGATTAATATTTTATTCATTTTTCTTGTTGGTTGTTTTTTTTTTCCCTTTCAGTTTTAGGATGAGTTTTTGCATTTGTAGATGCTGCTTTAACTTGCTTTGCAAATTGGCAGTTATCAGAAAGCAGCACCAAACAATAAGAATACAGGTGGTCCTTGACTTATAACAGTCTACTTATAGTGACCGTTCAAAGTTACGATGACACTGAAAAAAACAGAGAAGGAAGGAAGGAAGGAAAGAAAGAGAAAGAGAGAAAGAAAGAGAGAAAGAAAAGAAAAAAGGAAGGAAGGAAAGAAAGAAAGAAAGAAAGAAAGAAAGAAAGAAAGAAAGAAAGAA